CAGGTAAAATATTTTTTTATTAATAATTTTTTTTATTAATAATTTTTTTATTAAAAATTTATATTTTTCTTTTTTATGGCCATGGCCTGGTCGCTGGCCATGGCGGGTAAAATATTTTTTTATTAATAATATATTTTATTAAAATATTTTATTCTCGTCAAATCCGGCGAGGGCGGTCCTCGGGCCGGACATTAGAAGCTAAATTAAAAACCAAGAAAAGGAAGAAGAAAAAAAAATTGATTCTCAAAATTGTTCCCAGAATCAAGAAACTACTTTTTTTTTATTCTTGATTCTGCTCCAAAACTGATTCTGGGAACAATTTTTGACAAAATTGTGCCCAGAATCAAAAAATTAAACAAACGCATTTCTGTTCCCAAACTGATTCTGGGAACAAAAGAACAGAATCAAACACTGTTTGGCAAGTTGTCATGCGCAGCCTAAGTCCCACGAGAGGAGATTTTAATGTTATCATATAAGATTTGGAATTGAATTAGGACTTGATTCCAAGATCCATCCAACCGAGAAGACTTTTGTGTTAAAAAAATTATCTTGTAAAGATGGGAGTATGATATTATTGACTTCCTTTTCATATGGATAATTTGTCCAAAAAATTCGAAACTTATTATATGGCGGTTAATTAAGTCATAAACTTTAGCAAATTCAGTCATAAACTTTTTAACGATTTTTTAATGTAGTCCTCTCGGTTAATTTTAGTCGAAAATCGCTGACGTGGACCATTTTTGCAATTTTTTTTTGAAGTTTTTATAATTTTTTGTAATTTTTTGAATCTTCTTTTTTTTTTTCCACTGTTCATCTCCGGAAGGGCCGGCGACCCTCACCAGCCATTGGCCATCTCCGAGGCCCTGACGACCCCCGTTGGCCCTTTTAAGAAGATTAACAGTGAGAAAAAATTTATAAAAAAATTACAAAAACCGTGCACGTCAGTGTCAGCCGTGCCAAGTAGGACGGCAGTGTCGGCCGTGCCAAGTGGGACGGCCGGCGGCAACACTAGCGATTTTCTGCCAAAATTGGCAGAAATGACTACATTGAAATTCGGCAAAAGGTTTAGAATTAAATTAGCGAAATTAAAAAGTTTAAAACCGAATTGGGTGATGTGCAATAGATTTATGACTTTTTGGATAATTTTTTCTCCGTTCATATACTTGGATTAGTACCGATTACTCCTTTAGGAACCCTTTTTTCTTTTCGAAATGATTAAACTTTCAAGAAACGAGTTCACGATGTATATCAATCATCAATTACATCTAAATGTTGTTCTCATCTATTAGTCGAGCCTTACACGTGATGTACAAGAGTTGTGAGTATAATCTCATCAAACAAGCAACGAAGGAAAGCAACATAGGGTTCAAACTCTACAAGCAATGAAGTACATTGCCCATTGTGCTCTCAGACCCTTCCAACCTAATCATTAGAGTCACCCCTTTTAATTTATTTATCATTTCTTGCATTTCGATTCCACCCACGTCGCATCACTCCACTTTGCAATATTTAATTGGACATAAATATTTGTCATTTAAAAAAAAAAAAGAGAAATTAGGGACTTTATGTGACATTTTCAGGTTAATACCAGATTCTATTAATGCCAATTACCGTGTGTGGTGCACGTTACTGTGGCATTTAGTAAGTTCTTTCCATGTGGGACTTGCGTTTGCATTCTATAATCAGGATGACGACGACGACATAGCTTCTCTTCCATGCACGCAATATGCACCGGTATTCCGACGTCAAGGTGGTCGATGGAAGGACATTTGCCAGGCTTGTCCGGCCGAAAAGCCATGCCCTTGTCGGTCCACTAGATGAGAATTATTGAGAGAATGAGAATGCACGTATAAACATCCGGACAAGTGAGGGAGATGACTCGCCCAAGCCTGTCATATTTCACACATTTGTAATTAGCTTCTTAGTATAGTGATTGATTGACACTGTTGTTCTTGATACTGTCTTCTTGATGAGAGTATGGTCCCAGAAGCTTTACATCCAGAGTTGATTTCTTCCTGATGTTTTACAAATTCAATCTGCCACACTGCTTTACAGTCAGCACATACAAATCTCACGCTGTCCCTCACCCTTCCACTCACCAACGTCGCTGCCAATCCCGAGTCCATCATCAGCCACGGATTATTGACCACTATGTTCGCTTCTAATCGACCCTTCACTTTGCCCATTGACAATGCTGTTGCCGATGCAAGGCCGAAGCAAAGCCCGAAGCAGCTTTGAACATCGATTTGGGTCCATACATGCATAACCGGGCTCCGAACTTCATGTTGAGCATTGCTCCAGACAATGCTACTGAAATCCGAACTAGACGTAAGCCTTTCTTGGACACGAAGGTCACCGTGTACCTCCTCTTGTCCCTGACATTAGTGAACGTTATCTTTGCCGGCCTCACCGTCACCTCCACAGCTGATGGCCTCATCACCATCACCGCATAAACTTACCGTGCAGCCCCGAAGTTGGTCAGTTCGCACCTGTATCTCACAACCCTCTTGCTCCCGAACAAGACCGAGAAGGACAGATAGTTGAGCTGGCTGGGGTCCGCGACTTTACGGGAGCACTTGACGTTGGGGTGCTTGGCCACATCTCTAACTTGATCGATGGTGTAGTCTGATGAGCTGTGGAAGGTGACATAGTCATTGGTTGAGATATCATACACCAGGTCGTGGGAGGGGGCTTTCTGGGGTCACGTTTCCCCCACCGGGCTCCCATGGGGTGGAATACGTGCCTCTGGCGGCATTGAGGAGGGGGGAATTGGTGTTATCATGCGTGTAGGCAGTCGTCATGATTGCGGATTCCAATTCGGGTGTGCGGCTTTGAGGAGAGCCGCGAGGCCGCTAATGTGTGGGCATGAAATAGATGTGCCTGTAGTGATAGACCAACATGAGAAAATTGGATCAGAGCAAGCACATTATCAACCGTGAACACTTATAGGTGGATAAGGAGAACCAGTTCATCTGCATAATTCACTTCCCCCGGTTTAATTAGCTCAAATGGCAATCTTGTAATCTTGTTTTACATGTAATTATGATTAGTGTCATTCTCTGCCATTCAACCTCAAGACCTAGGTGTATCTTATCAGACGAAGGACTCAAACTGATTCAGCATCAAAGGCAACATATAATCGACTAACAGACACATGTCACATTATGGTAATACAGGGTAGTAATCTCCAAGGAAAATCGAGGAAGGCATCTCTATATTTCTCAGTAGGACCTCCATTAATGGTGAAGCTATTAAACTCCACTCATACAAGGAAAAAAAAGACATTTCAGCTATAGATCGTTGCAAGTGAATGCAGTCACCCAATGCTATGTGGAGAGTTCTTTGAATAGAACTTAGGGTCAGTTTGTTTAAAGGAAAACTGTTTCTGGCAAATTATGCTCTGACTTTCTGATATTTGGATAACGGAAAACTGATCGATGTACGAAAAATGTTTTCCATGTACTGAAAACAAGCTTAGAGTGGGGAAAACGACTTCCCCTTCTGGTAAAAAGAAAATCACTTTCCCTAAATCACCAAACGAATGAAAACTATAATGTGAGCAGAGAAATTGCATATGCTATCAGTGTTTGTGTTGGGGGCGTACTTGGTGTTTTTGCCTATGTATACACCAGAGCGGATCAACCACCAAGCAAGATCTTATTTCCTTGGGTCTTTGGAGGATTCTTTCGTGAATATAATCTGGTTTTACATCATCGCAAACGAGCTTGTTGCTTTACTGGTAGCTCTGGGCATTATTTTTGGCATAAATCCTTCTATCCTCGGTTTGACAGTTTTGGCCCGGGGAAACTTGATGGGTGATCTGATGTCATATGTGGCACTGGCGATGAATGGTGGTGATAGCGGGCAGATGGCTATGTCAGGTTGCTATGCTGGGCCTATGTTTAACACTCTTGCTGGTTTGGGAGTTTCAATGTTTCTTGGAGCCTGGCTTAGTAAACCTGCATCATAAGTAGTACCCCTGGATACTAGTCCCCCTGGAGAGCAGTCTATTTTACACGATGGGGTTTCTGATGAGTCACTCATCGTCTTGCCCCGACATGACACGCGACTGAACAAGATGTTGGGGATCGGCCTTATGTCAATTTATCTGGTCTTCCTAGTTTTGAGGTTAAGCACATCTATGGGTGCGGTTTCATTGAGCGGTCTTAGTTGACTAACGGTCCAGGCATCAGGCATGGGAACTCTGGCAGGGTAGTGTGTACTAAAAAAAATGGATGCGTCCTTCTCTCCACAAATACAGCTTTGTGCCTGGTGCCATGATGATGTAGCTCATGTGCTTGCTGCATACTGAAAAAGTTATACCGGAATGGTTGAGCTGCAAGCTGGGCCTTGCGAACGTATCGAATTGATGTACAGTGCCAAATTATATTTGTGAGAGTTCATCTCCAAATGCCAATGCTTTTTGTGTGTTCTCAATTGTACTCCTGTTTCTCGTTTTGACGGTTGACGTGGGATATTTGTGAGATTGGCTTGTGACATGCTATCCGTGCTTCTGACACCACCGTCGTTATTTCTCATTTTCAGAAGAAAGAAGAAACTGTCAATTGCGAATTATTGAATGAATGAATGACGACACAGAGAAAGTATCAGGTTATCAATATGCTTCGCGTTTTGGATCGGAATGGTTGCTTTTTGGCTTGTGATTGGAGAAACTAACCAGCACATTGCTGGACCTAGATGAAGCTACATGCAGGATAAGAGTGAGAAATGTGGCTCAGCTAAATGAAATTCTCTCCTTTTCATTCTGCTATGCATATTTCCTCACTCTCGGTTCTGGTCGGTATCCTGGGCAGAAGAATGTCGCAGTCAATAACGAAAGCAGATTATTCGGGCATTGCACTCTTCAACTTTAATATCTCAAAGTTGCACTACACTCTTAACTTCGATATCTTAAAGACGAGGTCGCCAAGTCGAAGCAAGCATCCTGCACATAGCCTTTATCGCTATGTAATCGTCGATTCGAGTAAAATGGATCCGCATTGAGATAAGTCTGCGATCAAAGCAGATCATGAGATGGTATTTATATCACTGTATGATTTCAAGGTTCGTTTTCTTTTTGTTTCTGTCAATTTGAACAATGATGGCATGATCATGCTAATCTCGTAAGCTATCATCATGTTCTTGCGTTCGAACTCTAGAGCAGTAACACACTTCACTGTACTTTATTGAATCACCATCACAATTGTACACATTCTTCTTCAACCATTTACAGCATCTACCCTGCTTTTCTCCCCACACATAAACCTTCCACATATTCACTGTTGCGCCCACAAGAACGCGACCGGACTCCTGACGCGATGCTGCCGGTTCCTCCACGTGATGGAGCCGCCGAGAGCCGTGTCCGTCTTGTTCCTTGCCACGAACGTCACGCTGTACCTCTGCTTCTCCCCCACCTTCCCGAACACTAGCCTAGTCGGCCTCACCCTCACCGCAACCGTGCTGGGCGCCTGCACCGCCACCCTGTACACCGACCCGGCGTCCCCCACGTTCGTCACCTCGCGCGCGTACCGCACCACCGTCTTGTTGGGCCCGAACACGACCGAGAATGACGGGTAGTTGAGCTGTCCCGGGTTGGACAGTTTCGTCGAGCAGGTCACGTTCGTCCGCCTCACGACTCTCTGGACTTGCTGGACCGTGTAGTTAAGAGAACAGACGAAGGCGATGTAGTCGTCGGCGGTGAGATCGTACACGAGGCCAGGCGAGAGGGCCTTCCTCGGGTCAATGTGGCCTGCTCCGTGGGCGAACGGGGACGACGGGCCTCCCGTGGCTGAGTCGGTGATGGGTTTGCGGGTGTTGTCGTGGACGTAGGCGGTGGTCATGAGCGCCGATTTGATTGCGCTTGTGCTCCAATCTGGGTGGGCAGCTTTGAGCAGCGCGGCGACGCCACTGATGTGCGGGCAAGACATGGACGTACCTGGAAAATGGAGCCCGTTAGAAAAGATTTTGACTTCTGGAGAGTTGCACACGATGTGCTTGGTTGTTTGCTCAGAACAGAGGAAGGACGAGAGAAGTATGTAACGTCAATGAACCTGAGATGATATTGAAGGTGGCAGTCCTTTTGAGAATATTCGATTCCGTGGTGGTCAAATTATCGGGCCAAGCGGCCAGGATGTTGACGCCTGGGCCAATCACGTCAGGTTTCAAGATCTGCATGGACTGGAAGTATGGCCCTCTTGAGCTGAACGCAGCCACCACCGGTGTCGGCCTGACATTGAATGCTTGTGTGCCGGTAGTGACCAGGGCCGTAGGGTTCCGATCGGTCCTGGCATATTGCCTGATCACATTACCTGCCTTTGCACCGATGTGAGCTGTCGGTATCCGGTGGGGGTCTGCCAGCAACTCCTCGCCACCGTTCTCTGCAGTGTTCACCAGTATCATTCCTACTCCGCCAGCATCACGCACCACTTCGCCCTTCTCAACCCGGGCATTTTCCCCTCGGTCGCAGAGCACCACCTTCCCGCGCACCACCCTGGGGTCGAGTGTGCCCGGCATGCACAAGTTGCTTGGTCTGCTTGCGTTTCCCGCGTTGTAAACCAGGCCAACCAGCTTGTTCCCCATTCCGTGGCCACCATACAACGATTCTCCAGTGAACCGCATCTTGTTGCCAAGCAATGCATAGGCCGGGAATTTGCGGTCCAAGGTAGACGCACCTACGGTCATGATCCATGGGGCTCCATTCGAGAGCGTGCCTAGTTGAGGACCTTCGTTTCCGGCGGAGGCAGAGACAAAAATACCCTTCTCCATTGCTGAGAACGCTCCAATAGCAATGCTGGTCTCGTAGTACGACCCGTCAGCTCCACCAAGGGAGAGAGAGATCACGTCGACGCCATCCCTTATGGCCTGGTCCATGGCGGCGAGTATGTCGGAGTCCATGCAGCCCTGTTCCCAGCATACTTTATAGCTGGCCACACGGGCATGGGGAGCCATGCCCTGAGCGACGCCTCTTGCATGGCCGAGCAAGTTGGCATTGGCCACCGGCGAGCCAGCGGCTGTGCTCGAGGTGTGAGTCCCATGTCCCTCATGGTCCCGAGGGGTTTGAACTTCTGTCATGTTACCATCTGCACAATGAATGTTATCACATTAATATCCATAAATACTCGTCAAGTACCCGATGCAATTTTGCCTACGATTTCTTTTAGGGTCATTTGGTTCACAAAGTTACCTAAAGCCTTGATATATCCTTTGGCGAAATAATAAGCGCCGATGAGCTTCTTGTTGCACAGAGAAGGACTGAAATCCGGTCCGCTCACGCAGTGTCCCTTCCACCGGGTCGGAACCTCCGGCAACCCCAAGTCGTCAAAGCTCTTTGCCTCTGGCCAAACCCCAGTGTCAAGAAGACCAATGATTACTTCATGAAATGGTTGATCAGCCTTCTTCGAATGGTTCCCCGTGCCGGGCCACAGCCCGAATTCATCTTCCACTTTCAAGAAGCTTGGCGTCCGCGTCGTGTGCAGATGGTACATGACGTCCTCATAGACCCCGAGCACTGCGTCCGACGACCGGAGGGCCTCCGCTTGATCCGGCTCGAGGGACGCGGCGTAGCCATGGAAGGCGTCGCTGTAGACGTAAAGGAGATCGCTGGCACCAGAGGCGAGAGATTGGAGGTTCGCGCTGTACCAATCCCAGCTGGTGCTGAACGACCCGGGGATGCTTTGTTCCTTCATTTGAACAATGTAGGTCTTCTTGGCCATCGCACAAGGGAAGGCGAGAAGAAAAAGAGCTAAGGACGTTAACCAAGCAGCGGAAGAAGCCATGGTCGGACAATCTCCCGTTGCTCGAAAAACCTGGAAGCGGAGTAATTCTTGACAACCTTGTAAGTTCCAATCTTTATAGTGAAAGATTCTTCTTGGGTTGCTATTGTTAGCGTGTATTGGTTGGTTCTCCGGCCTCCGTGTTTTGCAATTTATAGTCTTCTATCTTTGGTGATGATTAAGTTTCTAAATCAAGTCCAGATCCAGGCAGGAATGAATCTGGTATATTCAGAGTCAGTGAATCTAAATTCTAAATATGGATTAACTTCTGTTTTAACTTTTAGGTGCAATGCAATGAAGAAGGGCCGTACAGCTGTTCAGCTTCCCAATCTCAGTTTGAATTGATTGGACTTTGCTGTTCCAGGGAAGTGTAACTTACTATTATCTCGTGGCCTTTCTTTGCGACATTATCAGGTAATGACCCTGTGTGGTGCATGTACCTGTGGCATTTGGTAGGTTCTTCCCATGAGGGACTTCTGTTCACATTCCCTAATCACGACGACCCCTAGACTTCTCTTCCATGCATGCACTATGCGCCGGTATTCCGACGTCGAGGTGGTCGATGGAAGGGCATTTGCCGGTCTTGTGTGGCCAAAAAACAATGCCTTAGTCGGTCCATTAGATGAGAACTATTGAGAGAACGAGAATGCACGGATTAACCTCTCCGGTCCATTGAGGGAGATCACTTGCCCAAGCCTGTCATATTTCACATTGTAATTAGTTCCTTAGTATTGTAATTAATCGACACTGTTTGTCTCTTGATAGTCTCTTCTTGATGAGAGTATGGTACCAGAAGCTTCACTTCCGGATGTTTTACAAATTCAATACCGCTTTTACAGTCACACAAATACAAATCTCACATCGCCCATCGACAATGTTAAGCTATAATTGTAGTGTAGACATCTTTATGGACATGGTCATTGAGATTGATGGATTAACAATAAGAATCTATTCGGGGGTTCGATAGTTAGAAATAGCAATCTCTGTTGTCTGTGGCTATAACTTCATACAATGCTGATTCGATTAACACCCGTGTACGTTGGTGAGCTGCCAAAAGGGAGGACGCTCTTCGATCCCGAGTTAGGCAATCTGAACTCAACTGTGATAATCGACCGCATCTTGTAAGGGAAGACGCCAGCATATGAGGGGTGTGACGGTCAAGTTGACTGTGAACGTACATATAATGTATGAGCGTCCAATGCCACGTCATCAGTTGACACGATATATTGTTATAAATGTCGGCTTTATTAGCAGTACATCCATATAACGATATATGAGTTGTTAAGTACTGGTCGTGTGTATCAAATTGAATTACAATGTAGTGAATACTATTAACTAAAATATCAGAACCTTTTCGAGGTGATTGGCTTCATGAACAAAATACGGTATCTGTGCAACATTAATTACATGCAAAAGAGGCATCGTTTCCTGGTTCTCACAGGGGAATATAGGAAGCACAATATGCGTTTTCCTTTTCGGGGTGAAGAAAACGCTAGGTTGGTAGATATATTTATTAATAATTATATATTAAAGTGGGCACAACGAAGGTCGCTTTGGCCGAGTGGTTAAGGCGTGTGCCTGCTAAGTACATGGGGTTTCCCCGCGAGAGTTCGAATCTCTCAGGCGACGGCGTTTTTTTCCCTCCTTTTGTCTTTGTTTTCCCCCTCGTTTTTGCTAAGTAATACTTAGCCTGAAAAATGGAATTCCTTTTGCTAAGCAAAGACTGAAACTTCAGTTCTCGTGGTCCAGTTTACTTTGCAATAGACATACCTCGGTCCACCAATTCGTCCATTTGTCGCCATTTATTGAGTTACACATAGCCAAAAAAACAACATTAAACTTCATCCGAGGCAACCCGATAATGACTTAACGTTCCCAAGAGTTCATATAAGAATGACCCGATCGTAGAGTAAAAATTCGAGTGACTTCGCTTCAAATCCAAAAGTTTGACTTGTTTGGACCATGAACGCATTTCAAATTAAACTCCTCTGTGATGGTATCGACGGATCAAAGCACTCACAATAGTCGAATTTAGGCAACGAGTGGAGAGCGAGACGTAAGGGTATAGAGGGCAAACCTTCAAGGAGAAGTCGAGTCAATCATGACAATACTTGAATTCAAGCTTCACTCGCGAAACGCTCGGCTAAGGTGGTCATTTGCCTAGCCAGATCAACTCCCCGTTCGACAAAGTTAAAAAGTTTCCTAGATCTTATTGATGAGTAACGCCGAGCGGCTGAATAGCACAAAAGCTCAGCATCCTAATGGACGAAATATCTGAATGGGGTGAATTCGTTATCTGGCCGTAAGTGCAAATGCCTAAAGACTGATATGTACTTTATCTCCGGGGCTCATCACCTATGATCACAGTGCTAGGACTGAATCTCAGCGCAAAAATAAGAGCAACGAACTAAAAGAAAGCGATGAATCTGAGCTAAATAGAAAGAAAGCAGGAATATGATAAAATCTCCTTGAATGTAGTAGCTCATCCATATCTAGCATTGCAAGAATTACTTCGAAATGAACACACTAGATTATGTTACAGCAGGTATAACCAGTTTGCGGCACCAACCATTCAAAGATAATACAGTAAATGAGAATGAGAAATACTTTTTCGGAACTTCAACTGCACACTACTGCGGCTGTAAGACTAGTCGAAAGGCACTAAAATAAATTTTAGTGGCCATACTTCTGAAATTCCCACTCGCTGTTATCTGTGGAAATGAAGCACAAACAAGGACAATTAATTTTACAAAAAGGAGTAGATAAATGAAAGAGAACAAGAGATGCTTGGGCTTAGAGTCTGACCTAGTGGACAAACTTGACGAGTCTTCAGCCAACGACTGATGCAGTGAAAGTGAAATGCATGGTTGCACACTCCTATAAAATCAAAAAAACAGTATTTTGTACCTTTAAGCCAAGCATACAAGGTGTAGGAGACACAAAATGTGACAAAATAGAGCCATGCTTCATCATGGCCCAACCAAAGATAACATGTGAACATAAACTAAGAAACGGAGCCATAAACCTGAAAAATCTAAGAGCATGTCAAAGACCAACAGCACTTCTGGCTAAACTTCAGATGCCATTCAACGACTTTGCAAATTTTTGTCTTGCAAAAAGATGACCTCTTTTCTTTACAAAGCAAGAGCTCAACCAACTACATCTATTACACAAAAGAAACAGGATGAAGCACAAAACCATATAGTAAGCCGTGAAATTGCGAAAATGATTTCACCCATCAAAAAGACTAGCAATATTGATACAAATCTTAGCAATTGACATTAAACAGGAACAGCTTAGAGATATTATCATAAATTAACTAGAAACATAATTCCAGGATCTACTTCAAAACTACAAATCACCCATAGAGTTTCTCAGCGACAAGTCAAATAAGTAGGAGATTGCTCTAAACTCCCCAAGCAACATTCTCACTTATAAGTGGAAAATAGGTTTGACTATCATCACTAAAATCTACAAACTAATGAGCCAAGAATTCAGAACGCACTAAGAACTACTAATGTCAGAGAACTAAAGAGGAAAAGTCACATGATCATAGACCAGAGTGCACCACAATCGCCCTAACTTGGATTTCTAATACAAAAACTCTCGAAGACTCTCGTTATTCTGGTCTCAGATAGAAAAGGCTTCTCTGCACATGCTATGAAACTATGTGAAGACAAGATACTTCATAGGTTTTCGGCAATCAGCTGATCCATCACTACCCTTTTGTTCTTCGTGAAGATTACAAAGTATGTCTAGGAACCTCCTCCATATAAAGTGAAAGGGAGATTTGTACACTCAGATTACTCATTATGCAAAGAAACAAACAGTCTACTTCAATCAATTGAAAGGAAAGCAATAATTTGTGAAGAAGCCATGAAAACTCCATAATCTAGAAGCCTCCTACAGCAGAAAGATAGACGGAGACGTGGACACTAGAAAAGAAGAGAGAGGGTGATAGTGTGGGATAGGGATCACAAGAGGATAGGAAGTAAACATTTGACAGACTGACCCTTTATAATGATTGAAGCCTTACGGAGATGATTTCAAGTGCAATCTCGATGCACTTTAGAAATTTATTCCCAGAATTGTGTCCTAAAAGTTTACTAGCTTTTACCATCTAAATGGAATCCTTAATTTTGCACACTACTTTCAGCACAATTGATAAGAATCCACCTTACTCCTATGGGTACTCTATTTTACTCCTATCTTCTACTAGAAAGGACCTCTCTAACCCCCTCGATTCAAATCGGTAAACTCTTTTCGAGTCAAGATTTTCAGAATGAAAATGTGTCTCTCCTATAAATTGCTCACTAAAAATTGATAAAATGTCAGTATTACAAGTCAACGGAATCAATGGACACTATATCAAGCCCAATTAGAACCTCCTTCCACCATCAGCACACGCGACCGGGCGATTATGGGTGAAAAGCAATAAGGCACAACGAAACACATAGAACTCCGACAAGTTGATCCACTCGACACAATTGCGCCTTCTACGCAATCCATGTACAGGAATCCTAGGACTAGGAACAAAACAACGCGCCACGGACCACGCTACCGGTGCTCAAGTATAAACAGCAGTTTCATCGGATGTTGCTTACCCCAAGCAACCGTGCACTCCTCGCTGGTGGCGCTGGCTTGGTTCGCCTGGCACTCAATGCCTGCTCAAAAAACTCAGGAATCATAAGCCATCCAAAACCCCAAATCGCCACCAAACAAAATCAAAGAAACCAAAAGGCAGGTCAGCTAGCTAACTCACAGAGATCCATGATGTGGTTCCGGCAAATCGCGCAGTTGTCCACCACGATATCTGCAAATAGCAAACCGCCATCACAACACCGTCCAAAACCACAGGGACGAGTTTCAGAGAAAAATCGGCGAAGAAGCCTCAGCGATCATCGGCTAGGATTAGGGTTTCCTTACCCCAGGCCCAGAGGGCGACGGCGTTCCACTTCTTGATCTCGAATCGCTTCGGCTTCTTCGACGAGGAGGAGGAGGCGCCGCCGCCGCCGCTGCTCGATCCCTCGCCGGCGGGGACCATCGGGACGTCGGAATCGAGGGTCGCCATTGCCGATCGGAAACCGCCGAAGAGAAGCCTTCAAGAGAGAGAGAGAGAGAGAGAAGCGTTGAAAAAGAGAGAGGCCCTTCGCGTTGTTACTGTGCGTGTATTTTAGAAGCCGATTTTTATGCGGTTTTCTTCTCCTTTCCTATTTCGTTTTTCTCCTTTTTTGGGTCGGTCTTACGAGAGAAGAGAAAGCCTTAAAACTTATCACGAAAGTGCAATCGAGCTCTAAAATTTTTAAAATAAGCAATCAGGTCCTAGAATTTATTACAAAAGTATAATCTAATCTTGAAATTTTCAAAAAGTGTAATTAATAAAACGACTTGATTTGATCAATTTAACGAATTTTAAGATTTGACTATACTTTTTGAAATGACTTCTAATGTACTTATCCCTACTCATGATATACGATTGATTGTGAAAATTAGTGGTGATGATATTATTGACACGGCACAAATATTTTTTTGGGCCATAATAATTATAGGACATATTAATATGAAAAAGCAAATTGGACTCGGCTTTCAAAATTCGGCTTATGGTAAAAAGCAGGGAAAATTGTACAAATTAATTCTCAAACTTTGGCTCTATGTGTTGTGTCATTTAGAGCTATATCGATTTGACGTTCTTTTTATTTTAAAAATAAGTGTCTTCGTGAGAATATTTGATAACCATATTAATTTATGTATAGATTTCTCGTGCTTATATTAATATGATTATTGTTCCTAATCTTTTAAATAGATAAAATTTTTGAGTTTTTGTGTCCCGCGTTTTATTTATTCAATTTAGTTGAATCTGTAAATTAAACAATTAAAATAGCAGAAATATCAACTCGATACAATTGTAAAAGAGGTTCTAGTTATGCTATTATTGAGTTTATGAGCTAATATATACTTAATTGAAACTATAGTAACATTTATGAAGACTAAAAAGGTAAAAAAAAATAACAAAAAGATAGCTACATTTTTGTTGAATTAGGAAATATATTGAAATGAGAAGATATTCTAAAATCCGGACGGTAGTGCAATTATGAAAACTTATGATTTTTTTATAAAAAGTTGTGAAATTAGATTGAACGAATTGAAAATTTGGGGATTAGACTGAATATTTAGAAGTAGTTTGAGGACCATATTAGACGAAACTCAAAGATGATAGGGTACTTCATGCCAAAGTTTAGGAATTATTTGCGTCATTTTTCCTAAAAAGTAACAAAAGGATAAAAAAAAAGAATGAATATTGTTTTACTTATAAGATGGTACAAAATCTAATTTATAGATTTTGTTAGATAATAATAGGGTTAATATCACGAAAAACCCCAAACTAGTACACCTGTGACAAATTTACCCCAAATTAATTTTTGATCACGAAAAACTCCAAACTGGTAAGCCTATGACAAATTTACCTCAAACTAATTTTTTGACCACCAAAGACCCCAAATTGATACACTTGTGATAAATTTACCCTCCATTAAATTAGATTAATATCACGAAAAATCACAAAATGATAAATCCGTGACAAACTAAGGAGTAAAACCCTAAACTGGTATACCTGTCAATTGTCATGTGTCATTTAACTCGGCAATTAAAATTTAACGGAGACTAACGTAGGGTAAATTTGTCACAGATGTACCAGTTTGGGGTTTTTGATGGTCAAAAAATTAATTTTGGGTAAATTTGTTATAGATGTACCAGTTTGGAGTTTTTCGTGATATTAACCCTAAAAAAATATTATCTTTGTCAGCAAGAACTTATATCTAAACATTTTAATAAACATTAAAAAAAATTCATTCATTCATTTTTATAAACGATACACGCGATTATTTTTAAAAAGATATTTTTCAAATTAGTCATTTTCCGCTAAACAAAGAAAACCTTGAAAGAAAATGATAACTCGTCTGAATTAGTCCTTTCACTCACTTGACTCTATATATATTACACTTGTATTAAAGAATCAACCAATCAACATTTTAGCCTCTTCATCAAAAAAAAAATTGGAAAAAATGAGCCTTGCTACCTGAAAATAGGGCAAGCTTCCAAAAAAAAAAACACCCTTACAATTCAAGCCTATAATGAACTTGTAATTTAATAACATCTTGAATATAACCTTGGTGATTATTTACACTGTCCCTTCAATCAGTCAATCATCTTCTGCTCATCCTTTCTGGTGCAATGGCGAACCCAATCCATGTCTATGGCTTCTGTCTCCCAAAGCAGTGTCTGAGTGAATCACGGACTTGGGAGATAGTCTTCTGCGATGCCTTTGGTTGTGATGTTGATGATGATGGCCACGGTCTCTCTTCTCTTCCTTGGGCTTGTCGCTCTTTCTCGCCTCCCTCTTCTTGCTCGGATCATCTTCAGGAGGGAATGTGAACACAAACGTGCCAACTGGGAGGTCACTGAAGTCCTGGAGCGGCTCGAGTGTCTCCACCACGGTCCGCATCGCGGGCCTCTGCTTCGGCCGGTGGCTGAGGCACTGGTACGCCAGTTCGGCCGCCTTCCTCGCCCCGGCCTCCGAGTACTGCCCCTCGAGCCTCGGGTCCAGTATCCGGCCCACCTTCCTGGGGTCTCTCAGCATTGGTCTGGCCCACTCGACCAGCTTCTGCTCCCGGGCAGGCCGGGATTTGTCCACGGATTTCCTCCCTGTCAGGAGCTCCAGCAGGACTACTCCGAAGCTATACACGTCGCTCATCGCTGTCAGATGACCTGAAGTCAAATTGAGCAGAGTTGATCTTAGGAAACTCGAGAATGTAACCGACGTGATAACCTTAAAGGACTTATTAGAGTTTGCTTTTCAATCTTGTGCTTGTTCTTACCGGTCATGATGTATTCGGGAGCTGCATAGCCCTGGGTGCCCATGACCCTGGTCGAAACGTGAGTGTCGTCTCCTTCTGGGCCATCTTTCGCTAGTCCAAAGTCCGAGAGCTTCGCAGTAAAATCCTGTAAACAGAACGAAGATTGAGCATACATTATTAGCCCAAGACATTACAGATCCTAATCATCGAAGCTTTTGTTTTCAGGATAAGTAAAGTCATTGATTGTCCTACTACACAAAAGAAACGCTTACCGAGTCTAGTAAGATGTTTGAGGCTTTGAAGTCTCGGTATATGACCGGTTTCTCTGCTTCGTGCAGGAAGGCCAGGCCCTTTGCAGCTCCCAGAGCAATTTTCATTCTTGCCGACCACTGTAATGAAACCGAATATCCTGCAATCAAAAACAAATTTAACTGGGTTATAATCGGACATTGCTTGTGGGAGAAGCTAACTAATAGACAATACGGTCATTAGAAGCATGTCTGTTCAGATAATTGAAAGCTAGAACAGAGTGCATACTTCTGAATAGTTGATTCTCTAAACTGCCACGAGGCATGTATTCGTATACTAGGAGCCGGTGTTCGTCTTCGCAGCAATAACCAATCAGCTTCACCAGATGAGGATGCCTCAATTGTCCGAGAAATATCACTTCTGTCTGCCAAAGAGAAAATTCAGAAAATCAGTTTTGATCCAAACACATGATGAGAAGGAAGAGTTCTAACTGCATTGAGTCATGAGATTGTGAATTCGAGAGAATTAGCTTAGCTTACCAACCACTCTCTATGACCCTGCAAGCCATCCAAATCCAGGAGCTTGACAGCCACAGGCAGGGCCTTCAAGCCAGGCCTAAGCTTGTCGTCGATGAAGCCCTTGTGCACGGGCCCGAACCCGCCCTCACCAATAAAGTTGCTCGACGAGAAGCTCTGGGTGATCAGCTTGAGCTCCTGGAGGGTGAATACATGGAGGTTCGACCCTGCAAGAGATATGGAAAGGTCTTCCGACAACGTCACGCTTGGGTTGCTCAAATCCGACACAGAAAGCCTTTGGAAGGAACTCTGCTTGGACACCACTTTCTTGGGCTTGCGGGGATTGGTTCCTTTCCCGCAACAGCTCGGCACAACGTAGCTCCACAAAATCTTCTTGACCGCCATCGACAATGCAGAAATTTCACTCCTCCGCTTCCGAGATTCTAAAATTGCAGGACCATTTCTTTTGCCGTCGACTTGGAAATAAGGGAAAAGTTTTGGATGTAACCAAGCAAGAAAGTTGCAGAGGGAACAATGGCTAGTAATGACCTTTAAAGGGAGATGATTCAATGACCATATATTCAAATCCCCACCTGCCCTCGAATTCAGACAGGCTTGCAACTTCCTTACACAACCCATTTGAATTTTCTATTTCCATCTTCTTTCTTTCTAGTAGTTTATTCTATTTTCTTTTCACATAGATGATTCCATGTATCTTCCTAAAACAGCAGGCAATTCCTCCACCGCAATACCAGAACAGTTTTGTTTGGAAGCAGCACTCCATTGACCATTTCGTGTATTGTAAAGTGATGGGTCACGAGTCTCTTGATGAATGTTTCACACGAGGGACAACGACATGGTTGCCCCTCTTGACTTTTGCACGATTATGAACAACCCCGATTGAAAACAGAATTTGACCAAAAAAAGAATTGAAAAAGGAAGTTTAGCTTTCAAATTGATTAGGCTCATGCGAATTTGGTTTCACATTGATGTAAGCTCTTGGTGATGGGAGGCGAGGCACAGGAGAAGAATTAATGACAGGTGAGTGGATTGGTAAACCTGTTTTCTCGACGCAATTAAGCAGTCTTCTTTCTCCTTTGACCAATAATCATAAATCAGCTTTACTCGATTCGGTAAACAAAAGGAAGCTCTCAAAACTGAAGAAAAGTCAATTTCTTGGTTTCTTCTTCGACTGGTGCACTTATATGAATAGATCCAACAAGTCCCAGCCACAAGGTTGGGCCAAGAAAGCATGATTTATTCTGCCATGTCACACTCAAACAGCAAGGTGAAAAGGAAAAGGTTATATTGCATCCAATTTACACATGTACAATCATAGGGGTGCAATAAAGTACTAGGCTTATCTTGTGTAAACATGAGGTATAGTCAGAAGAACCCACTTGTCAAAACACATTGTTTTTCTCTGTATTGTCTGTATTATCCCTGTCTGAGTTAGGTTGCTTTGCTTTGTCTCTCTCTTCTCTCTCTCTCTCTCTCTCTCTCTCTCTCTCTCGCTCCTGTTCCTGAATTCTAGAAGCTTATCCGCAAGATGGATAGATGATAGTTGCGTTCTGGTTCTGAACTAGTCGAAGACAACCAAGACTTTTTGTAATATCCTAGTCTCTGAAATGTAATACAACCAAAAGCTGGGTGCTTAGTCTTTGCCCTCTGCAGATCTGGTGGTGATGACAGTTGCAAAAGGTTGAAGTTGACCTCAGATCAATAAAGAACACACCACTTGGTAGTGGTTGAGGGATCATCCTCTCATTTCCCTGGTAAGCTGGTTCATTCCTGTTCATTCCTCAGGAAACCAATAAGATATGGTAACACAAGAAAACATTGTTAAATAATAAATTTGAGCGGATTATCAGCTGCAGAGACTTGGATTTGTCTCTTTTGTTCGTTAATTAATGGTTTCTTCGGGTGCTGGCCTCGAGGAAGTGCTGTGCACTCAAATGTGGATTGATCAATAATAGCTGGGAAAGAAAAACAAGAACTGAAAAGATTTTAAAATGCTTTTGATGGGGAGTGATTTGGTCAAGGGGGGAGTAGGTGGTGGACCATTTTCCATCGCGTCAGCATTCAAAAAGTCAAAGGGCAGTATTGTAATTTCGCAACTTTGTTCAAAGGAATGGAGGCTTGGGTTCTTCTCAAGGAGGAAAACATTCAAGTCAAAGATGGAAAAATTGGCGCGCAAGATTGGTGCGCAAGATTGGTTTATTTTTTTTTCAAGATAATGTGATACAGAATTTTCAACTTTTCTTAACCCTCTTATTTTGCAATACTTGGAATGCGAAAATCAATCAATTTCAATTTATCGAGAGATGGAATTCGCCGTTCATCGTGATTTCTACCCAAGTGCATTTCTATTGATTCTTCTTTATCCGTGCAATACTCCTTCTATACTTGATCTTGTACCGATTATTCATCCATATTATGATGTCTCGAATTTTGAATACATGGTGTATGTTCCCCTTGAAAGGATTATTAAGTAGTTGTCAAGTAGTTCAAGTTAAGAATCATATAAAACAAACTAGTTGATGATCATGATAGACAGGGATCTTATGCTTCCGAGTGTTGCTTTCACCAAATAAATCTTTGGCTCTTTCCTTGACAACACCTGCTAATGTTTAAAATAAAATAACAAACAAAAATGGGACAAAGTCGACCTTTTAGAAAACATTCTAGAAGCTCTTCATTCAATACAATAGGGTCCTTATGTGCTCCAGTCTGTTCCAATCACAAACTAATATATATATATATATTGGGATGAAAAAGCTCCTTAATAGTTGTTCATGAGCACACAAAATTAAAATAAAATAGGGTTTATGTATTTAATGTATTGATTTATGGAGCCGTGACCAAAGACAATATTGTGGGACAAGGCCAGCTAAGGCCTATGGCTAAGAAGAGACATTTGTCTGCCTCTTTCAGGGCAGGCCCTCAATTTGGAACTTTAATTTCAGTGGACAGCTCAATTGGCTAAAAATTTCCGAACAATTTATTATTGGTGAATCGAAGCATTATTAAGTAAGCTGTTCCCTTGAAAAAAAAAGAAAAGGAGATAAACAATATATGGGCATCATTCTCTTGTGTAGTCATTACCCTCTTAATCCTAGTCATCTTTATCTCCCTCTCCTTAAATTATCGAAACAACTTCTAAATTGCATAGTATTTATCTTCTCTCAGAATGTAATCTGCCACGAATAATTAAAATTGAAGCAATTTTGCACACATTTATAAAGCGAAGTTTTCGAGGTTGAAATTCAAAACATGGCTACAAGAATTTGAAGTGCCTTTTGGAATAAATCAAAAGGTGTTGATTAGAGATTATTATATTATATCAATGACTAAACCTTTTTTTGTAACTCCGAGTCTAACATTGTTTTCATTATTTAGTGAATTTCCTCTTAAAAATAAACTGTGACTTGGTCGGAAGATCACAGCGAAACTCCAATTTGAAAAGTGGAAAAAGAAAGTATATATTATCTTAAAGAAAACTGATCCTTGGCACATATATAGTTTTATTTCCTGATTTGAAAGACGGAGACACAAAATAAAAAGTAACTTTTTGACAAAGAATACTAAGATTACATAGCTTAGTCTAAGTGATAGAAGCTAAAATAGAACACGTTGGTTTTATTTTATGTTTGTCGTTCAATTGTTGCAACGCGCATCGGGCTGTTTATTTCTTTTAAAATGAACTTCACAAACAAATATGCTCGCCATATTTATCATGTCTTGTATTTGTGTTTTTCTAACTTTTAATATGGGCTAGTCCACTGAACATATAAGCAAACAATTCCTACTAAGCAAAAAAGAAAAGAAAGAAAGCAAAAAATTAGGTTTTATTTCTGATGCATTACAAAATACCAACGTAACTGGAAATTGACACGATATTTTTCATTTTATCCAATCTTAAAACTCGACACGTAAAATAAATCTGATAAAACCGCTTCGAATAAATGTTTTTTTTGGTAAGGAGCTTCGAATAAATGTTGATAATTAAATTTTTAAGAAATTGGCGCATGATCATCTAGGTCTAATTTTCAAAAGAGGGTGACCAAATGCTACGAAAGTTCCGCACAACCACCTCACCTGCACTTATGGAATTATCGCCGAACCACCTAATGGTCAAAGCTTCTTTTTATTCAAAAGGATGCCAAAACATGTCTCACATTGACCACGCTGTTTCGTTTTCTTTAAGGATTGCTATCACGGCACTTTGGTTTTCTTTTTCTTCTTCCTAACGGGATTAGATCAACGGCGGTCGTGGTAGAAACTAGAAGACTTGCATAACGGGATGTCATCATCAATGACCTATGGAACGTGGGGTGGACGAAGGCGGAGAAAATTAGTAGCAACAAACGCTAATGTTCGAATCGAGTCGACGGTCAACCTCCACCGCGTGTGAGTCCAATAAAAAAAGAAGAAAGAAAGAAAAAAACCCGACATAAAAAAAATTTAAAATATATATGGAAAAATTACCAAAACAATCCTAAATCTATTGTAACAATTCAGTCATAAACCTTTTTTTTAGGTCAATTCAGTTATAAACCTTTTGTATTTATGCCAGTTAAGTCCATACAGCCAATTTTGGCTGGCCAGCGTTCAAGTGGTAATTTTTTATAATAATTTATTTTATTTTTCCTTTCTCTTTCCTTTTTTACTTTCCTTCTTCCCTTGGCCGATCGCCGGACCGGCCAGAGGCTAGGGCTGGCGAGGTCATTGGTGAGGCTCGCCCTCGCCATCACGGGCAAGGTCAAGCTCGCCCAGCGACAGCGAGGGCGAGCCCAACCATCGCTAGCCGACCTCTCTCGCCCAGACCTAGCCAGATCTGGGCGAGGTTAAGCTCGCCCTTGCTAGGCGAGGGCTAGCCTCACCATGGCTAGGCGAGCCTCCCCAGTGGCTGGTGAGGCTTGGTCCGTCCGACAACCGGCCAGGGGAAGAAGGAAAGAGAAAGGAAAAAAATAAAATAAAATCGAAAAAATATTTAAAAATTGTCACGTCAGTATCAGCCAGTCAAAATTGTCAGATGGACTGAAACAGTATAATTGCAAAACGTTTAGGACTAAATTGGAAAAAAAAAAGGTTTAGAATTGAATTGGCACAGTTACAACAAGTTTAGAACTGTTTTGATAATTCTCCTATATATAAGGAAAGGGAAAGAAGGATGAGCAGAATAGCAAGCTTCGTGCGGGCATGGGAGGCTTAGTTTTGTAATCGTCTTGCTGAAAATTATAATCTTGCTTTACTTAGCAAACAAAATGCAATAATCTGGTGTCATTAGATATATGGCAATTAAGTTTAATTGTAGAAATTATTCATTCGAAACAAGTTCCTTTACGTGCAATCGATTCAGACGCTTGAAGAAATTTTACTAAGACAGCCATTAAAATGACATAATGGTACCTTTTTTTATGCGCAAATTGAAAACAATGGTACCAGAATATGGTAACTTTGATCCGCAAAACATGTTCAAGAATCAAAACGTAGACTTGAATGTATAAGCTCATGCGGGTAACAAGATTAGCCGTCCCTATTCGTGTAACATCTTCTATCCCTATCACAAGATCGTGCCACCTCTCCAACTTATTTTAAACTTACCGGACTATTTTGTCTTTTCTCAAACCTAACTCATCTCTGTC